GATGGCTTGCATTGCGGAGTCATTCGACACGTTGATGTACAGCGCGGTAACGTCGAAAGATCCAGCTCACCTCACGAACACCCAAATGTTCCTAGAACGTTATACCTTTTTATTTTCTGCCTACTATAATTTCGCGGCAGGGTACTAAGCGAAATACAATCACATCGTTGCTGAGATATTTGCAAAACTCTGGACCGCAGGTGTCTATGGTGGTGAACGAAAGCGCTATTGTCCTTTCCTGGGAGTAACGCGTTCACCACCACACCATTCCTTCGTTTCGCCTGTCTCTCAGCTATTTCTATCTTTGTATTTCGCTTAGTACCCTGCCGCGAAATTATAGTAGGCAGAAAATAAAAAGTATAACATTGTGATTTCAACTACAGCCGCAGCTTAACTGGGTTCTATGTCGATTTGGGCGCCCCAGATCAATCCCGCGGACGGGTGATTGCTGTGGCAAAGATCGATAGAAATAGCTGAGAGACAGGCGAAACAAAGGACCCGCATGGTGTGGTGGTGAACGCGTTACTCCCCGGAAAGGACAATAGCGCGTTCGTTCCCCACCATAGACACCTGCGGTCCAGAGTTTTGCAAATATCTCAGCAACGTTGTGGTTGTTCCTAGAACGTCTACGTAACGCGTCTCCTAACAACGCGAAGGTGATGGAGTCTTTCGATGTTTCCGCGCGCTACACCAACGTATCGAATGACTCCGCAACGCAAGCCACTCACAAACTTCTTGTTAAACATAAAGTACGAATACACATGCATGGCTTATCTATTTAGCAGCTTATGGCTTTTTTAAAAGAATGCCTAAAGTGCTCGATTTTGGGATGATCTGGGAACTATTACGCACAGAGAAGCTGTTGATCATCTAATTACCATAGAGTTTTGTCTTTTTGTAAGCGTTATTGAAGTGTTTGGCCTAGTAAATTGCGTACCAAGATACCCTTCCAGACTTTGAAGAAGGCGGTACTGCTGAGACGTGAAACGTCAGCAAAACTAGGATTGGATAGGAAATTTCCATCAGTACGTATGCTTTTCTCATCTCAATCGAGTGACTTCATTATCCACTGCAATTTGGAAATACGCAGCTTTGATGATACGATAATGATTTCAACGACAGCTGCGGTTCGGAGTTTTGCGTATACCTCAGCATCGTTGTGGTTGTATTTCGCATAAAACCCTACCATGAAATTTGTAGAGGCAGGAAATAAAAAGTAAACAATACAGAGTGGTGGGACTCCTGACATGACAGGTAGGTACCTTCTTCCGTTTGCGAAAATATAGTTGATCTCCAAATGAGTCGTACCGGTAGAAGGCTATTATATGCAACGAGTGCTTTCTTTCCTCTGGAAAAACGAGTTTCCATGGATAAAACATACTGGGGACAGGAGTGAGACAGTTCTCATTTTCATTTCATCCTCCTAATTCAAAATTTTCGCTCTCGTTGGCCTTACCTTTCCTGACGTTGAGGTTCCCAACCACAAAGTTGCAATACGATTTATCATTGCAGATAACTTCTTACAAGTGATGGACGAACGAATCTCGTAGAATAGTCTAATGTAATTGTTAATTCGATGCTTAATGAAAATGACATACTCAACATGACTGACATACTCAATGCTACATTGGCAGCCTGTTCTGTTGCTGTTTCTGCTACAAAACTTTTAAATTATTTGTTGACTACATTACTGCTAAGCAAAGTACATTTGTTGGCTAACACATAACGCCCAGGATGCATTGTATGCTACGAGGTCCTCGAGGTTGTCGGCAAAGCGGACAAATTGAATTGTATCCAATGCAGTTATTCGTCAGTGGCTTATTTTGATCCAAAGATCTCTTCTAACTTCACTATTGTCGATCGAGAGCATGTCAAACACAGAAGTGACATCGGACGTAGTACATGAAAAGCTGTTTTCTTCGTTTTCTTGCTCAGCAATCGCGAGGTTTTCAAACAGCATACATTTATTTCCATAGAGAAACACAATACAATGCAACACTAGCTGACGTTTCAGCAGCACCGCCTTCAATCCTGTTTACCAATAGGATTCAAATTTAGATAACGTGTATGACCATTTCTTAACATCGAATATGGAGATACCCATTTAGACTTTAGCCATCGTGGAACACACATTGTATTCTACCAATTCGTGTCAGTTCATCAAGAATACAAATGACCTATTGATCAACTCCGAGTTAGCCCTGTTGTTTGACCCATTCTTCCGTCTTTTGGACTGACTATAACACATAAAATCTATCAACATCGCGCAGGAGCCCTTCCCTTCGTGAATTTTAGCGCGAAACCATGGCGTGTGCCATTGGCTGGTCGCCAAGTGGCATGCTACAAGTCTTCGTTTTACAACAGGAGTTACGATCAATATGATCAATACAGAGAATGAGGCACAGAGTTGAGACGACGCATTATTTTAATACGTAGGTCTGTATATGCTTGAAAATCAAATGCTGGATTTAAAAGCATAATTATCTTCGCTGCCAGTTACTTGAATTAGAGAAAGTAATCCCTTCGTAAAGATTCTGTGCCGAGATAATACAGAGGGATAAGACTCTCGACGATAATCACCTCCTGTGGAACGCACCATTCATAAAACTTTACTAAGTATCATTAGAGATGACTTAATACATACATGGCCTGTATGACTTGCCGTAACAAATCGATTTCTCGACTACTTAATACCCAGAGCATTGTTCATATCAGTGGAGGTTAGCACAAATCGTACTTCCTTGGTCTTTCCACTTACATTCTCTCATTACAATTCTCATTAGAGAAGAATAGCCTTAAAACACCAGGTTACCACTAACAACAGCGGAAACTTTATTTTATTAACAAACGAAAATCTTGTGGCGTGCTGTCAATTGTGACCCTAAAGAGATCCGTTGGGTTAAAACTAGACGAGTACTGGATGTCGTCGCTTAAGCTCGTTCTCCTCTAATCCAACGGGCCAGCTGAATGTCCTTGGGTATGAAAGTGACGTGTTTTGCATGAATCGCACATAGGTTCGTGTCCTCGAGCAGTCCAACCAGATAAGCCTCGGAGGCCTCCTGAAGAGCCATCACAGCCGAGGACTGGAGGCGCAAGTCGGTCTTGAAATCTTGTGCATTCTCTCGCACAAGGCGCTGGAACGGCAGTTTGCGAATCAGCAACTCGATTGATTTCTGATGGCGACGAGTCTATCGAAGGGCTACCACTCCCGAACGATAGCGATTCGGCTTCATCGCACCACCAGTGGCCGGTGCCGACTTTCAAGCAGCCTTTGTGGCCAGCTGCTTACGCGATGCCTTCTCTCCAGTAGATTTGCGAGCGGTTTGCTCGGTACGATACATACGAGATCGACTGCTTGTGAACGATTATTGCAGTCCCGCCGCCGTCGAATTTATAGCCTCGCGCTGGGAGCGTGGCCTATTCGTTGAGGTCGGGTCGACTGCGGATTCCCGTAGAGGAGACGCTACGATGCGTTCCCAGAACCACCGGGAACAGTTCGAAAGATGAATGGAAAGTCTGCGATGCTTCTTTATTTACATAGTGGGTTACTGTGAATTGTTTAGAATACAATGTTTATTCCACGATGGCTAACGTCTAAATGGGTATCTCCATATTCGATGTTTATAAATGGTCATACACGACTTCTAAATTTGAATCCAGATATTTTACTGCAAACTTTACATTCTGACGCACTCTCTTCCTGAACTGTATCGGCTCCAATGCAGTTGTCAATGGTCGCTACTAATTGACAACAGTCTGAGAGACACTGCGAAACTAAGCTCCACTTGAAACTGCGATCTTGGGAAATACGCCAAACCAAAAGCATTGACAAAAACTCCAATTCTTCCAACTTTGGTGTATGGCATCCAAAATAACCGTTGTTTAAAGTCTACTAGTAGCTCCTCGAACATCTACAAGCCTATATACCGCATTTGCGAATCTTCTGATCTCCCGCTCTCGTATTGATTTCTTTTTACTGTACCTTATACTGTTCCATGGAGATCTGCACCTAGGCTCTGTACCCATTTCTATACGCTGTACTACCTCAGACAACCTCGTACCTCGTAGCGACCTGACCACTCGTTTCCCAATAACACGCACACCACTTGGCGACCCGCCAAACGCCGACGTCGCGGTTTCGCGCCGAAATTCAAAGGCGAGGGGACGCGCGTGTGGCATGTGGGCAAGCCAGCCAACATTCGAAAAGTGGGTATCTACCATACCTTATATATCTACCATCAGCATCGTGTATAAAAGGGCGTCACTGAGTGAGGATGCCTCATTCGAGAAGATGGCTCGCTGAGGAAGATCTGGCTCGACAGGAAGGCGAAGACGCAACGTCGAGGCGAACAACAACAAGCATGGACCATCGACTCGGATCACCGGCTCTGAGGAAGACGAAGACGTCGAAACGTTAGCCGAAAATAAATATATTTATCAACCTCGTGCAAGCTTATCAAGAAAGAATACATATTGATTTGTCACACCGAGGTTTAGGGAAGGTCGGTTTCGAAATAGCTAGATTATTTGCATTTTCGATGAGCTGATAGGTGTTGTTTGAGATGTAAAGTTCTGCAGCAACAAACATTTCAGCGGGAATCTCTTTCATCACCGTTTGAAAGTGACCGTATTAACAAAAAGCTCGCAGTCGGCCAAGTATTTTTGTCAACGCACCGAAAATTGTAGGCTTGAATCGCATGGCGAGCAATTTCATAGATGTCTACGGTTCACATTCTAATCAACAGAAGCAGATAGCAGGGTTCTGATGATTGAAAGGAGACCAGATAGGCAACTTTAATCGCCGTGGAGCTGAGTCCAACCTTGCATAGAACAATGATGAAATCATGAACTTTGTGATGATTTACACGCTTATTCTGCACATTTGTAACGAATACACTTTATTCTAGCGAGAAAGAAACGCACTCCAATTACTCCAATTGTGGCCCTAAAGAGAGCCTTTGGGTTAGATTGGGTTTGAGGACGGCCTTGAATAAGTCGCCTTATCCACCGAAGCCGTATAGCGTACGTCCTTGGCGCTTGAGGGCGTAGACGACGTCCATCGCGGTAACGGTCTTTCTCTTGGCGTGTTCGCAGTAGGTGACGGCGTCACGGATCACATTCTCTAGGAACACCTTCAGCACCCCACGAGTCTCCTCGTAGATCAGTCCAGAGATACGCTTCACACCACCACGACGAGCAAGGCGACGAATGGCTGGCTTGGTGATGCCTTGGATGTTGTCCCTGAGCACTTTGCGATGGCGTTTCGCTCCCCCTTTTCCGAGTCCCTTGCCTCCTTTTCCTCGACCAGACATGGCGATAGCACGACACTGACGAGTGACATGCGGGTTACCGCCAGTGTGCCGCTTATGTAGGCATCGGCAAGGTCCGCACGTTGCGACCCGACAACCATGAGTGGGTGGGCTAACACCACTCCTCTAAAAGACTGGTCAGGATGGATTTGAAGACACCGTTAAACACATCGCAAGAATTGGAAAAAAGCATCCTGTGTTTACGAACGAATATATTCACATGTTTATGTGACACTTAAAGGAAGATCTAAACAAATATCTCTTTTGGACACCTTCCGTCTTCATAGCTTTCGGTAATGATACGTGAAGAGGCAGAAGAGCCAGAGTGGTGTACTCTTAGATAAATGTGCAGTTTGGTCGTCTGCAGTTTTTTTTTTCATTCCACTCTACATATATGTCACTGCGTCATGAGGAAATTTCTCATCACAGCACCAGAATATTTAACCCATTCCTTCCCGTATGGGCACTACAGTGCCAGCACTCATTCGATAGCTAATCAAAGCAGGTCGAAATAGTAGCATTGAAAAAGGAAAAGCCATTTTCTACATTTAATAATTTACGAAAATCAGCTTGTCGGATGAGATGATTTTGCGACGACAGATCCTAAAATAGGACACTTCGAAAAATATACTGCATATAAGGTAATCGAGTGGAACTTATACACGTTGTTTAGTAATAAATATATGGTTGACGCCAACAAAACTAGAAATCGTGTGTGGGGAGCGTTCGGCATCAGTGACGTTGTTGGCCAGAGATGTGGTTTATCACGTTACTTGTTTGGATACAATTCTAAATTCTTCCTCTCATAATTTTTCATGCATCTTTCAAAAAATTGTGCTCGAAGCCACTTATACTGTCGTCTAAAACCTTAAGATTTTATCATGTCACTCTTTCGCATAGATCGAGGGGTTTAGTTGCGCTGATCGAGATGGAATCAAACGGATACTATCGGTATAGGGAAATTCCTTGTGATGTGAGAACCACATGGAGCCAATCGTCCTTTTCATCTCTTTAATTAGCAGGAATTATTGAGATATTCTCTAATTCGCTAAAGTGACCAATTCCGAATGGACTTGGTGAGCATTCATTTGTTTGTCTGGTACTCACAGAAGTGGTTCGTTTGCTGCAAGAAATGGGGATTGAGTTTAGAGTGTTCTATCCTAACTAGCATTTTCTAACAGTTCCTCATCGAATGTAATTTTTCCTCGAATCACCAGATAACACTACACGACGTTCCCAGAGGATCACTTCAGATACTGGTGCCTCCTCTGAAATGGTTTTTGTACTGGAGACCACTGCAGAGAATTAGGGCATTAGCCACCGTACGCATGGTCTTATCCACTGGACTAAAAGAGAAGAATATATGAAATTGCAATTTAACGAGAAGGGCATAGGAACATTTATTTCAAGAACTACAACACAAGCACATAACCACTCCTCGTATGCGGCCAAAAATTCACAATGAACAATCGGAGAATAACAATAACTATAATGACACTTGCGTCATGAAGTCGTCGACCGCGGTCAGGTTCTGGTAGCCACAGTAGATCCACAAATCACCTAGAAAACATTTGGCGTCTAGGAGAGGTCATATACCTAACATATTGGAAAGAAAAATTCGTAAGACTTACCTAGAGAAGAAATTTAAGCACTTGCTAGGTCTCTCGACAGCAACATATCACGTTATCCTCCACGTGTTCATCTTCTTCATAAGTATTTAGGAGTGCTAGTTGAATTAAGGCGACTCGCAACTCTAGAAATTTCAACCGTTCATTCGGAAGACTGCGATGACAAACGAAAAACAATAACAAATGGAATAGGAAATAAGTCAGAAAATCGAACGATGAAGTAGCAAAAAGTACTTACTGCAAAGTCAGAAAATTCTCCGCTCAACTCAATACATGATGCCGTCTCAACAATGTCTTCAGGAGCGTCACCATCGTTGACCAGTGAGGGTTCTTCAGTTTCAGTCATACTTGGAGTCCATAAATAAACCGTTCACCATTCTTTAATGATGAAGGAGTATCTCAGAATCTTAATAACACAAAACGTATCAATGTCAGAGCACAGAACTCATAGGCCACACAGACGGAACTGTTTCTAACGAGGTTTCATAAACAACATGTGGAGGAGTTCGAAGGATGAGTAGTCTCGGTTATTTTGTTCTATCCATGGGTTTACACGAGCAGACAAAAATACTGTTAATATTGGAATCGAATCGCCGCAACACTGGACAGCGCGAATGTGCCGAGACGTCAGCCACGATAAAGCTCTCATAACTACCTAATCAAGCTCATGAATCGAAAAGGAATGTTGGTTGCAGTTCCCGTGTGAAATAGAAGTTGCTAGTTCGAAATATTACTGGTTATTTTTGCGCAGATCCAGATAACAACAACGTAGCTGCGCTTCATACGAAAAAGCAACTGCTATCTGTAACTCCCTGTAACATAAAAACGAAAATCTAATAAGATACCAAACCTTACCTACGTATTCACATTCGCCAGCTCTCTATAGCTGTGTGAGGTAGTTTCCGTTATAGGAACATCAGTGGTTGCAGTGTGTCCACTTTATGCATTGGTGGCGCTACAAGACAGTTTAAGAATGAAAATGTTGAGAACATCAAAGCTTAAGAACGATGTTAATATCACGACAAAGCCCGTAATCTAAAAACAGAATGAAAGTGAAACAGGAAAAGCATCTACCTTTTTGCTCCGAGAAGTGACCAGGTCCAAAGCACTTGAAATCATCTCTGATGCCTCATTAGAAACTGGAATACATAGGATATTTCCAAAAATGTACATAGAAACATGCGACGCATCGTAACGAAAACATACACACACCTAAAACAATGGAAGAAAGTCTAAATATAGTGGTGTAAACGCATAGTGAACGTGTAGCAACCAGAAACTGGGACAGCAAAGCAGATAGTGAATGTCAGAAGAAAGCAACCAATTTCTACAAATGTGTTCAACATCCCACATTGTGTCAGGGATATAAAAATGTCAGAGGTGGCCTCAAAGAGGGTCGTTGGGTAAGTATTCATGCCTCACGGCGTATAGAACATATTCCTTTTCTCCACCAGGCTTCTTGAGTAGAAGAGCCGCTTGGATGTTGGACAGAACCCCTGCTTGAGCGATCATCACACCTGAGAGCACCTTATTGAGCTCTTCAACGTTGCGTACAGCGAGTTGGAGAAAGCGAACGTTGATGCAAATCTTCTTGTTGTCACGAGATGCATTGTCAGCCAATTTCAGTACTTTAGCAGCGAGGTACTAGAGTACGGCAGCCGGATAGACTGGAGTTCCATCTCCGATACGACCAGCATAGTTCCCTTTGCCTGGCATACGATGAAGGCGGCCGTCGTGCGATAATCGGGACTTGGATTTAACTCCGGTCTTTGCTTAACCTCCTTTTCCACGGCCAGACATTGTAGCAACACGGCGAAATGGACAGCCATGGATAATGACGTGGGTCGACATCACACGAATAGAAAGGGGCGTTAGAACCACCCATTCGCAGGTGGAACCAGGTCAGAACGGCGAAGGTGGGGCATGGCCATTGCGTCGCTATAAGAGCGAGGCCATTTGGACTGACGCTCATCCACTGTCCGTACGTCTACGAGCTTGGTCGTCATGCCACCAAAGCCATCAGCCAAAGGAGCGAAGAAAGCCGCCAAAAGCCAGAAGGCTAGCCGTACTGGTGACAAAAAGAAGAAGCACCGTCGGAAGGAGAGCTACTCCGTCTACATTTATCGTGTGCTCAAGCAAGTCCATCCCGACACAGGAGTTTCGTCGAAGGCAATGTCGATCATGAACTCGTTTGTGAACGACGTATTCGAACGTATTGCTGCCGAGGCTTCACGTCTTGCTCACTACAACAAGCGTTCTACGATCTCCTCCCGCGAAATCCAGACCGCAGTACGACTGATCCTGCCAGGGAGCTCGCTAAGCATGCCGTGTCCGAGGGCACAAAAGCGGTCACCAAGTACACCTCGAGCAAGTGAACTGCTTGACTTTGGTGCATAAAACTAACCCAACGGCCCTCTTTAGGGCCACAATTGGAGTATAGTGCCTGAACTTTGACATGTCTATTAATAATAAACAAAGTGATTTCCATTGTCGGTGTGATTAAATCATGGATATTAAAATTAATGGCTAGCGATGTGATGATACGGGATCTGCACGACAATACCGTGTGCAATTCCATCAAACGGGATTTTTTATGCATTGTTGACGAACACTGTCATATACAACATTTTGAAAATGTGATTGCACCGCAAGGCGACCTAGCATTCGGGCCTGGGGTGGGTATATCTCACCCGTGTCACATAGCCTCTCCCTGTTCGAATTTTGGCGCGAAACTATGGCGTGGGTTCTTGGCGACGGGCCAAATGACCTTCCCTTCCTTCGATAACAAAGGACGTAGTCGGTGGGACGTTCTCTGAGAGAATGCAGAGAAAATCGGTGGATACAATGGATCAGTGGGAATCATCATTCAGTACAAGTTTAGTTAACGGGAATGAATAGGAAGAGAGAAGCTACAGGATACGCCGGTATAGTGCAAGGGGTTGTATATATTTGAAAACCCGCCGTTGGATTTCAAAGGTGTAGCAACTGCTAGAGTTGAGGAAGCGTCGCCATTCCTTTCAGGTTTTTGGTTTCCGACTTTCCTATAATAGCCCCATTTCAAGTGACTCTTCTTTCTGTATAGTGTCTCAGGCCAATGATTAGTCAATAGCAACTGTACGACTGAGATGAAACCACTACAGTTTAAAAAAGTTTCTGTCAACCACGACATTGTTGAAGAAATCAGTGCTTTCCTCTCCAGCAAATACGAGGTTGGACTTGCTTAATACTGGTTGAAGTTATAGACCTATAAGAGCTCTTATAGGTCAATCACACGGCTGAGAGACAGGCGAAACGAAGGACTCGTATGGTGTGGTGGTGAACGCGTTGGCGCCCGGAGAGGGTAATAGCGTTTTCGGTCCCCACCGCAGACATCAGGCAGTCCGGAGTTTTGTAAATATCTCAGCTACACTGTGGTTATATTTCACATAATACCATGCCATTGAAAAAAGTAACAAGTGGTTGAAGTTTCGGCGGTTTTGCCTTTTCCAAAGTGTTTTCGCTCCTTGTAAGTCTTCCAGCTAATTGACGGCGACCAGCTACGTAGAGTCTTACATGATGAGAAAGCTGAAGAAGACGAAGCCGCAGAAACGTCAGCCAATGCTGAGTAAATCTTACTCTTTTTAACAATGTTTCTATTTTTAAGAAAAGGAGAAAGGAATACGTTTTCTGCGTCCATCAATTCCTAAGATACGCGCTATGCTGTCGATTTCATCGGGTAATGTATTTCATCAGTGTTTTGTCCTACCAGAAGATCTGAACACGAATTTGCCGACCCCGAAGGGATGGAACGCTTGGTGAGAGCGGGGGTGAGACCGAATGAGCCAACAATACAGTGTGGATATTGTAAGACGCTTCCAATGGCTTTTGATAATCGTTTTACTCTTCTTTTGAAAAGCAAACAAATATTCACACATCCAACGAAAAACAACATTTTTCCTCCTTTTCCGAATTTATGGCGCGAAACTATAGCGTTGGGGCCTTGGCGTTAGGCAGGTCGCCAAGTGACATGGCTGTCAATGAAGAACGGGGCTCAGTCCTTTCTATAGTACGAGGCGAATAGAACTGGACATAATCGATTAGTACATATCTTCATTCTACAACAGAAGTCACAATCAATGCGGTCAATACAGAGAAAGAGACACAGAGACGAGATATATTGTTACAATGAATTTAGTCGCATATACTTGAGATTCCACTGCTACATTTTGTAACATAGTTATCTTAACCACCAGTCACTACAATTACATTAGACTTTTCTGTAAAGATTTTAAGGTGAGATATGACACGTCAAAAATGCACGTTAAGATCGACCATTAATCTCCCAAATGGGGTAGGTGGCACAATGGTAGTGATGCCGATCACGAGCATGGTACTGCTAAGATCAGATCATGCTGTGGGCTTAGCAAGCCTCCTATCCTTACGGCTCGGGAAATCGGTGCCGGACTTATTTGGGAAAGCGCTCACTCTCTCCAATCCAAGCCGGAACGCTCTTGCTTGGTTATCTGAAGGCTCCAGGAAGAATCGACTCGACCAGCATTTAGCGACATGTATGAGGCAAGGAAAACCTCGAGCAGCAGTCGAAATGACACGTAAAAAGTTGGATGACCTTTGTGGATGATGGATATGACGGAATGATTCGAGTTCAAAAAATGCTCTGAACCACACAGTGCACATAAAAGAATGATAGCTTTAAAAATGTTCCCAAACAACCTAATAGAAATCACTGTCGGTCATCACTGCTTACGCTACCACTTGTTGCTTAGTAGTCTTATCTGGTGATTCGAGGAAAAATTACGTTCGATGAGGAACTGTTAGAAAATGCTAGTTAGGATAGAACACTCTAAGCTCAATCCCCATTTCTTGCAGCAAACGAACCACCCCTGTGAGTACCAGACAAGCAAATGAATGCTCGTCAAGTCCATTCGGAATTGGTCACTTTAGCGAGAACTGAAAGAGAGCGCTAAGTAAAAGAAAACCTCACCTGGCTCTCCTCTTCTGAAATTGATACCAACACCCTGACGAATGTCATTTCGGCGGGATCACAAAAGCCAACGGCTTGAGCAACCCTAAAGCATCTCGTAAAGAAATAGTACTGTGCTCTAAGCATTCACTTGAAAAGTAAACTGGGAACAAAATAAGGTGACGAACCAGATCTCTGTGAGCAGTTTTAGGGCATTCCTTTCCAAGCCACGTCATTCTCAGTTAACACACTAAATATGTGCAGAGTGAGGGCTTCGAAGTCTTTCTCCCATGTTGTTAACGATTCCTCGTTTACCATTTGTTGCAACATTTGCAGAGCATGGCCCTGTTCACTAGTCTGGAAAACGAATCCAGAATAAAGATCACTTTAGATTTGGGAACCAGTACACCTCCTACATTTTTTCCCATAAATCCTTGTACTACACTGTGGAGAAAAAGGTTAAAAGCATAAAGCTCTCGGCGTAGATCTCCGAGGGATGCGCTATGGATTCGATTTCATTAAACACTGTTGGAGATGATTGAGTGCATATCTGGCCTTTACAATGACTCGCGGTGGTCTACCGATGTATCAAGCCAGTGATGGTATCTTTTCAGACAAGTGGGGTACCAATTTGCGAGGGGATGGAAGGCTTGGTGAGCCCAGGGAGGGCGTGGGGATCGATCCCATGTGTATTGCAGGTCGCCTCCGACCACTGCCCAACGCGGGCCCCTAAACTGTGGATATTTGTGAATATATTCAAGCTAAATTCTCAAAAAAAATCGTTGCAGAACTCCGTTGTAAACCGTTGCAGAACTCCAAGAAACTTAAAAAAAATAAATCAGTATAGAAGAACATCACTATCCTTATTCGTCCTCCAAAGCATACATTATGACGACTATAGGTAATCTACATGAATATATAGTCTCTATAAAAACATGAGCTCAATAGTTACTCCGAAGTTTCCTTTGCTCGGCATTAATGATTTTTAGCTAGTCTTGACAAGGATGCGGTATTTTTGGTGATCGGAGTAGAAAAAAACACGATCGTACTTCGTAAAGGCTTGATGTAAAACAACTTAACTCCCCAGGTTTCACCGACACCAAGTAGCGTCTTACCTGTATTCTTCTTATGATCTCCTCCTGAGTAGAGAACATGACAAAACCACCAATGATATATCAGCAGTATAGCATCGGCTGGAGATCGATAGCGGGGACTTCAATTTTGGAAATAAATGCAGTGGCAAGACGTTATCAGCCGCTGACTTACTGCTAACCCACCCCCACCCATTTGCGCGGAAAATTTCCCCAGAGCATTTGAGAATCAATCAGTTTGGGCACTGTTTTAAGATAGCCATAAGCCGCTGAATAAACAAGCCGTGCATATCTATTTCTCGTTCCTTTGTGTTCAACAAGAAGTTCGAAGATGGCTTGGATTGCGGGGTCATTCGATACGTTGATGTAAAGCGCATTAACGTCGAAGGACTCTATCACGCAAACTATTAGGAGACGCGTTACGTAGACGCTCTAAGAACATTTGGGTGTTAGTGAGGTGGGCTGGGATGTGGTTAAGCAGCTAGGTAAGTATTGGGCTTAGGAACCATGTTACCCTATCCGTTGACCTGTCTTCGCAGATGATAATAGGTCTAACCTAAAGGACGATGGATTGTTTGACGCCTGGTCATCAGCTGATACTAACGCTTGTGTTTTAATAAGTATGAAACACGACATGTTAGTCTATCTATTTTATAGTGTCATATAAGTGATGATTTTAAGCCTGCCGCCTTTGCCACTTTGACCCATTTATTGTTGAGTTTACGGTATTGACCTTTGTATTCCTTTTCAGATGATGGCCGAAAAGGTACTATTACTACGGCGTTCCTCCGTTATCTTTACATCTAAGTGGCGAGGAATAACTGCAAAGTTTGCCTCCCCACCTTTCTGTGCGATTGTAAGGTCTGTTTTGTCATTTTCTCTACTCAGAAGCTGATGGACAGATGTTTTAAATTACTGAACGAGCAGTCTGAGTATATTTGGTTCACCTGACGGAAATCAAAAAAAAATTGGCTTCCATTTCTTAACGTTCAGGTTAACCCAGCTGAAAACGGCTACATCACGAAACGCTAGCGAAAGCCAAGTAGCAAAACACGTAGCGGTTCGTTAACTGCTCTTTCACCTCACATAAACAGGGCGCTTGTCAGAAACATGTTTCGAACAGTGCCCTTAATGTGCACGAAGAGGGAACTAGAGGAGGAATCGCGTGACTTGGCTTGGCAAATAGCCATCTCTAACGGATACGAAACAGTAATCCTACGAGATAAGTTTACAAGGAGAACGAAGCCCCAGAACGAAAGATGTGGCCTAAAGAAAATCCTGTTTATGCTGCCCTTTACTAGCGATGAAGTTAGTGTAGCTATAAAACGGTGTTTTAGAAAGGTAGG